TGATGTTTATATGATAAATTATTAGATAAAATTATTTTATCTTACCATATTTAAATATAAAATAAATTTTGAAATTTCAAAATAATATAATCATAAAAGATTTTTAAATGACGTTTTATTATCATTGGCAATGATTAATTTTTCAGAAAATAAGTTTAAGAATATAATATTTGTATTTTCAGTTACATAATTTCTTATGGAAAACATTAGTCAGATTGTTAATTTCCGATCGAATTTGAAATTAATAATGAATGATTAATATATTTTAATGCGATTCCCCGAAATTACGTATCGATACGTTATTTAATGACATCATTGTTTTTATAATAATTATATGAAACGAGGATAATAAAAATGGATTTCATCGTGAATTAGTTAAAATCTTTTTAGAAACAAGTCTACATTGATATTTTAAAATCTTGTAAAATCTTGTAACGTAACGAAATTACTACTTGAAAATTATATTTTTTCTTTATTAAACTAGTTACGTATTATAAAATGCAAATTAGTAGAGGCATAATAAATCAGTTTTTATCAATTTTATATGCTTTGAATTACGTAAAAAATTTAGCTTTAATAATAGGTTTGGAATTCATGCTTCAATGATTTATGATTTATATTTAAGATTAAATAATAATATTGAGAGGATGAAATTAATTTATAATATCAAACATTGTAAATTATTTATATTGTTAATCTTCAAGTTATGATTAATAATTTAATAATACAAATTTTGACTTTTTTTTTTATAGATCAGAGTTCCTTATGAAAGATTCTTTTCATAGTTTGAAAATGTAATCTTGATTGTGTCATCGATTACTCAACCTTCTAAATAAAATGGATTCCCATATGATTCATTTCTTTCTCAATTTTCAAGTAAAATAATAATAATAATAATAATAATTATAATCAATTGAAATGATATTTAATTATCATTTAGATAAAAAATCTATCTTGTATAAGAAAAAGCCTAGTTTTTATTTTATAATTTTGTTAAAAAAAATGAATCTTTGGCTTAAATTTCAAATAACATATCTTATTAATATTTTTCTTTAAAATTAAACAAATTTTAAAGATAACGATAAGAAATATTTATAGATGACGACATTTATTCCTAGAATATGAATATATAAATCTTTATATTAGCATCTTATTATGTAAATTATTGATTTTTAATTGAAGTTATTCTATATTATTAAATAATATATTGTATTTTATAGCTCGAATATTGATAAATTTAAAAAAAAATTTCCATCAGCCGAGAGAAAGAAATAATTTTAGTATTAAAAGTTAAATTTACAAATCGTTACATTTCATTTTTAGCACTTCGAAAAAAGAAATGAACGAGTTCATTCGATTTTTATGTTGTCACGTGTAATTCCTTTTTTCGCAGATAAATATTTTTCGCAAAAGTATATTTTCCAATTTTGAAAGTGTTCGAAGGTTACATGACGCGAATATGTAGGAATTTCAAGTATAAAAAAAAAGAACTTGAAATACAAACCTTGAGCATATACCACGTGAATTAATGGTTGCAGAAGACCAATTAACGCCAGACACACAATCAACATCTTGCACTTGGTTATTATTCTAAAATAAGAAATAATTGAGTCAAGTTGAAAAGATATTGAAATTGATAATAAAAGAAATTTAAATCGTATTATAAACTTAATAGCATTATAAACTATTGTGCTTTATTGTATTAAAAACAAATGTAATTATTTGACAATAGAACTATTGACTTGTAATACATATTCAAATGTATTACATATAGATAATTATATTTAAAGTAGTATAATGAAGATAAATGTATTTCTATTTAAATAAAAATTATTTTTAATTTTGCTGAAATGAAAACATATTTTTAATAATTATTATAATTATTATATTTATATTTTTAATAATTACAAAAAAAATAACACATTCAAAATTTATATTTTAACTAATTATAGTTCTAACGTTAAAATGAATTACATAAATAATAAATTCAAAGGAATTTTCTTTATATGTAATTTCACTTTTCTTGAAGTATTCGTTTTAAAAATTTACGAAACGACAATAACACAACATAATAGAGATAGAACATATTATGTATTACATAAAAATTGCTTTTACGATAAGTACTGTTTATTCATATTTCGTATAATGTTTCAATTCGTATAATGTTTCATTTTTCAAAAAAGATGATAGATTTCTGATATAACTATTAATTTATAATAACTATTAAAAACAAATCACAATAAATTTCACAAACCTCCTTTCCACACACTTGACGGTTGACTGAGAGTCTTCCGTCATACGCTCACTTTTAAAAAATTTTACTATTTTTCGATGATGATGTTTTACGCATGCGCAATAGTTATCTATATAATACTATGTACCTTATATTTTTAAGAAAGAAAGATTAACACCTTGTTTTTATCCTTTCTTCAGTCTCTTCTTATTATCCCTACCATATTGTTCGTATTTTCCCTTTACATAGAATTTTATTGTCACTTTAAACAAATTTATCTTACCATGTTATTTATTGAAACATCATACATATTATTTACTACATACATACAAGAAATAATAGATATCGTATGCATTGCACGCAACATATTTGCATTGCTGATTTCTAGAAAATTAAAAAGATATTAACTCATCTATGAGAAAAATGAAGGAATTATAAATATGGAATATTCCAGATATTATTTCATAGATATATATCATACATTCGTTACAATGACAATAACTTAATAACGATTTTAGAAAAAAACAATTTTTAATAATTTAAATCACTAAAATAACATCACATCAAAATACCAAATTGGAAATTCATGATTTGAAATTTTATTTATAAAATTTTATTAGCGACTACCGTTATTATTATTGTCACCATGCATTTTTAATAAACTATTTGGCTTATATATTGAAAATAAAAATAATTTTATAACTTTTCTTGATGCTTTTTTTAGGAAAAAAATCAATTCTATTGCATGATATTAAATTTTTTTCTAGATTTTTAATTTTTGAAATAAATTGAAAAATATCAGAAAAAATAAATATACTTTTGGCATTTTTAATTTTGATCGTTATTTAAGTAATATTATTTAAACATATTTATAGTCAAAATTATTTATATTATTTTCAGCAGAATTTAGAATCATTTCATTCATTTCAAAAGTAACTAAATAAATAACTATTATTTTAAAATTATAAAACACGTTCAAAATTGAAAAATTGCAATTTTTTCAAAAATTGTAGATTCTAGAAAAAAATGGCTTGCAGATTCAATGTATGTTAAAATTTATAAAATATATTCATTGAAAGTTACAAGTTCGAAAAAAATTAAAATTGATCAAACAATGATTATTAATATAACTTTTAAATTTTTTGAAAGACAAAATTCAAATTTTTATTCTTCTGAAAAGCAGTATAAAAAAAAAATAATATAAGAAAATAAAAATTTTATATTTTTTATAAGATTACAAAAAAATTATGTACAATTAAAATTTACATTTAAAATACGTAGAGATTTCAATGCCTGTAATTTCAAATGTGTTTTATTATTTTCTACTACTTATAATAAAATCATGGAAATTATAAATATGATTAATAGACATATTATTTATTTATTATAGATATTTTTGGGTATTTCCTGAATAATTTGATCTTTCCATGATGATTGCCACTTCCGACAAAGACAAAGTTATTACGTATTTTCCACAATATAAGTCATAATGAAGTTATATCAAATAATTACACTCGTTTCGCTGAAATAGTTTCGGATTGCTCAATTATATATAATTGCTTTGATATAAAAATCATGATCAAAAAATTATTTTTAATAATATATTGTTATAAATTATTTTTAATAATAGTGGAAGTTCTATATTTTGTATTTCGTTACATGAAATTCTCGATATCTGTATTATCTATTTTCTATGATTAATTATTTTACTATTGATAATTTTATATATAATTTATCTTTTTTTTATGATTTCATCATATATGATTTATTATTTTTTTTTTTTGTGAAAATAATTATTCATAATAATTCTATTTACAAAATAAATTGAAAGAAAAAAATTCAATGTAGGTATAATCTCAAGCCCAATTAGGAATTTTAGTCATCAAAGAATAAATATCAATCTTTACTACGTATATTATTTTAATTTATAGTAATTAAATATTTTTAATATTTAATATTTTTTTTAAACATTCAAAGATTATGATTTCAAATTAAATATTAAAAAATGTTAATGCATGTTAAAATAATGAAATTATTTGAGTTTATCATTTTTATATTTTTATATATATATCATTATAATTTTCCAGCAATTTTATTTTATTATTTAATTTTTTTCTAGCTAATTATTTGATAGAATAACAAGAGTTAGAATTCTTATGTAATTCAAAATTTTTTAACTTTATCAATTAATTATATTCATATTATTGATAACATTAGATAAAATATTAATGATATATTATATATATTAATGACATAAATCTGATTCATTTATTAATAAATATATTATGAAATAGAATTTTGAAATATTTTATAATGATAATATTATAATTATTTATTTATATAATATTAGCATTTAATAATGATAATATTATTATTATTTATCATTTTTTTTAAATAAAAAAAACGATAATTTTATGTTAATAATATTTATTTACAATATTGATTTATTTACATACGAATTGTTATACAATTGGTGAATAATTATGATAAGTACATTTGGTTTGCAAATTGAAATTTACAAAATTGAATTTTGTAAAATATTCCATAAATGATGTATAGAATGAATTATATTATATGCTAATTTTTAAAATAATACTGTGCATATTATCATTCTTTTATGAAAGATTTCATTTCAAATAAATTTTTTGATATCATTTATATTCATAGAATTTTCATATCATTAGAAACAAGATTTTATATATATTATATTATTAATATTTTGTATGATATAATGACTGTATTTTGTATAATATAATTATGAAAAAAATAAGAATTTTGTCAAGGAAATATTACGAAAACTGAATTTTTATGTCTAAGACTTAATAGTGATTATTCACTATATACATTATTTGTAAAAAATTCACATTTGAAAGTATCAATTTTTTTTCCTTTTATCACAGAATTATTTTCTCATTTATATGTATATAAAAATATATTAACCATATAATGAGTAAAATATATGTCACCTACAATGAAACAGAGTTTTCCTATACTTAACATTTCCTTTATATGCGTACAAATATTTATTCTTCACGTAGCATGAAATTATGAATAAATCTGGAAAATTGTTTAATCTGAAAACAGAAATAAATTATTAACAGTGTACATTGATATGAATTTCAAGATGACTTGTAAAAAGAGAAAGTAATTCTTTTTATAAACATAAAAGCAATAATTTGAAAACAGATTGTTTGGAAATTTACTTGCAAGTAGCATTTTCAATATCGTGATTTTCATCCCAATGGTATTGTGCTTCCAAATCTTCCAGTATTCTTCTAAAAACAAAAGTCGAATTTGGTTATTTTTTATATTAATTACAAGGAAGAGAAGTAGGAAATAACTCTTTTTATAATGAATTTATAAACATATAAATGAGAAATTTAATTTTCATTCTTTATTAAAAAATTTATTCTTATTATTGTGCTTTAATAATTGTTTAAACATTAAAACTTTTTGCATACCTCATATATTTAACATTTCCTAATAAAAACTAATTCAAAATGATACATATTATTATAAATTTAAAAATATATATATATATATAATACAATATGAATTAATTCTATAGGTAGGTATTAAATAATTAATTATTTAAAACGAATAAAATGCAAATATTTTACTATTTTACTGAGGATTAAAACAATAAAATGACGATAAACGATCAATTTATGATAAACGAAATTATATTTATTTATTCTCCATCAGGAAGATGACTATGCTATTTTTTTATTATTATATCATCTTTACTTTTGTGATTCAGTTTGTTATCTATATGCAATATGAAAATTCATAAATTTCATATATTGCTCGATATTTTTTATATATTATCCATCCACTGGATAATATCTCCTGAAAAATCAAAATACCAATATTATATCATTAGAATGCGTTTTAATTTAATTTCTGACAGATTCGAAAAATAAAATTATTTAGAAATTCAATATTTTCTACAATTAAAAATTAATTATAATTATAAATTATATGTGAAAAATAAAATATACCTGACATATATTTTTGCTTACCTGTAACTTCTAACTCCCAATCGTCGTTTTCTCATATAGAACATTACTATTGCTCCTATAACTCCAACCATTGACATGGATATGATGGTAGCTATAACTAAATTAACAATAAATAGTAAATAATTATAAACGATTTTGTTATTGACAACAATTTAATGATTCTCATGAATTATGTTCATATATTTGAATATCACACACATATATATATATATATATATATATATATATATATCATATGCGAAAATATTATTTGTAAATGTTATAAAATTTAAAAAATATATAATAAATAGATTATTGTAGATGTATGAATTATGATATAAATGGTCTTTTTTATAAGTGAAAATATATAAGAAATTTACAGATTAAGTTTTCAGTTTTACAGATTAATTTTATTTTTAAATGAAATATCTAATTTTTTTTACATATAATAGTTTTGACAGAAATTCCTGAGATTATTAAGAATAAAATTCGTGAAATACAAATAATTATTACTTACATATCATTCGATAAGCAATCACTGTAATATCCTGCTGATGTTTTTTAAGGCACTTGGTTAAATGCGATAAAGTACCATTTACTATAGGACATTGAAGATCAAGTATTTTACAGAATAATGGATATAAATCTAAATTATTAAAAGGTTCAAGTTTGCAGTTAGATATAAATGCAGGGCCTTTCGCAAAAAAAAAAGGATGCATTTCTATAGCTTCATTATCATAACCATGCAGACCAAATTCTGAATCATTGTTTACTAAAAATAAATATTTTATAAATACAGATCAAATTTTAATATATAGTTTTAAATTTCTAATATATATTTGAATTATTAAATTCATATTCTGAGGAAATATATTGTAAATTACCTGTAATATTAAATTTCTTTTTATAAAACTCAATATTGTCAAGAAGATTTTGAAATGCATATCCCACTTCAGCAATAACAAAAATAGGACCAATACGTGTATTATTTCCATAATGATATTTTTTAGGAATTTCCTCTCTTCTATAAACTCTAAATGTTTTCAATTTTGATGCCATTTGTTTTAATGTTTGATAAATTGTTTCTTCTTTGCCTATAAAATTATTTTATTTAATTTTCACATGAAATAATTTAAAATATATCTAATTATAATCTAATTATATATGTATATTATATAATGAATTATCATACCAGGATTAGGAAAAATATGTAATCCCGGTGAAGTACCCACAAATTTATAATCAGAACTGTTAATATATTTTGTTAGATCTATTATTCTATCTAACTTAACAGTTGCCATTCCATGATCACTCAAATGAACAACATTGAGATCATTTAAGCCATGGTATTCTATCTTGTTATGAAGATATTTAGTTATATTATCTAATTTTCTAAGAATATTATCAAATTCAAGTCCTTTTATTCCAATGCCATGACCGTGATAATCTGGTTCTTCAATATATAATATTCCAAAATTAATTGGATGTATAGGATGAATAAACCATGATATTAAAGTATCTATTCTTTCTTCCCAAGGTACATTTTCATTAAAATTCTGAAAAAGTTAGAAATTTATTATTTATTATTATATAAAAAAAAAAATTTTTTTAAATTTTTTAAAATCAAGAAAAACCTGTGTAAATGTAGGAGTTATTCCTTGATATTCATAAATGCCACCAGGCCACATCATTGAGCCACTTCGCCTTTGTGCACCTCCTTTTTCATTAGCAGTCTGTTATATTAAAAATTATGCAAAGTATATATATGACTTATATGAAACATAAATATATATGTCACAAATTTTTAACATACCCAAATAGGAAGAACTTTATTATCATAATGATACAAATTATATGAATATTTTGTTATATTTCCAGAAATAACATCATAAAATTCATTATCTATAACTCCATGTGTTTCTGCATATAATCCTGTAGCCATTGTATGATGATTGGGAAATGTTTTTGTGACAAAAATATTCATCATATAATCTGCATGTGTGCCTTCATGTCTTAATTTATTCATAAATGGTGTTAAGTTTCTGTTAAAATAATCATATCTATAAAACAAAAAAAAATTTGATTAAAATAATCAATTATATAAAAATTATAAAGTAATAAAATGATATAAAATAAATACCTGAATGCATCAAATGATACTACTAATAACTTTGGATGCTGTGATATCAATAATCCATATTTTACATTAAGTAATATGACAAGTGTTAGAGCAAATATAATTACAGAATTCATGATGAATGTATATAATATATATCGGTTTTTACCAAGAAAAATTATTTTATTTGATGAATTATTTATTGCTGTATTTTCTTCATGCTTTTAAAATCACTTCAATAGTGAGTCTTGTTCGATCTAAATTTAAAATTAAAAATAAATATAATTATTATTGACAGCTTCTATATATTTTTTTTTTAATTAAACAAATTTTGATTTTTAATCAATTTACATATAGATATATACATAAATGTACTTGAAATTCTTTAAAAATTTTATTAAATGATACTAACTGTAAATTACCAGATAGTAATTCTTCATGGTAAAATTGCAAATGTTAGCTAATTCTTCATCAGCACTGTCTGTTAAATACTAAATGCATTCTCTCATTCATGAACTATAAAACTGCAAAGTAATGCAACCTTTCTGTTACATGATAATCGTATTACTATCTTTTGTAATGATCAATTCGTAAAGAAATGCTTACTTTAATCTAGAATAATTAGTAAAACGAATTCGATTGAACTTTAAATAGATTTTTACTATCTATATAATAAATAAATGTACAATAAATGTTTAAAAAGATGTTTGATTTTTTATACTTATATATAAGTAAAAAATAATTTATTTAAACTTTTCTTCAGGATTTTTCTTTATTCCAAATGTTGGCGAACTTGTTTTTAACGCAAGCGTATCAAACAAAACTGCAACGAACAAGAGTGCATTCAAGTATGCGATTGACAGATGCTCAAATCTACGATATATTGTATTTGGAAGAGATGAATCGTGTTTGATATTTCCATATTTTTCTATGAAGGATAACTTTTTGTTCCCATTATCCTTCACGTATCACGTGAAAATTAAATATCGATATTTGGACGCTTATATCGGTTAGATGACGGCGATACGCCGTGTGTTAACAGGTCATGGGGGCCTGTTTCGGCCGCTGTATTTCCAAAGTTACAGACTCCTTGTCATACAGGTTAGAAATATAATTTTTATTTTAAAATAAAAATTATTCATTGAAATATTTTGATTTGTTCATTTTTATCCATATATTATTTTTTTCGTCTATATAAATTCTTTGATGAATATTATATCTATGTCTTTTTATAATTTTATATATATTTTTCATTTTTAATGCAATATATATCTAAATTTAAGGTTTTACCAAAGACATACCAGTATGTCCTACCAAGGAGACGAACAAGTTGAGGTAGATATAATGTTGTGCTATATATTATAATTTTAATAATTTATATTAATATATAGAATAATTTTTTTATAGTTTATAGATGACAAAGGAGGTACAGATCAATCTAGAGGATCAAAAACGTAAGGAATTATAATAAGCTTTAGGGCAATGTTTCAATTATATTATATTAATTATATGCTTCATTGTTATGCTTTCTGGATAGCCTGTTATCATTTCTCTCCTTAAACCGATTTAAGGTAAACAAATTAATTTATCAAAATTTTTATATATTTTTATTGAATATAATAAATCTATTATTAAATATAATATATATATATAATATTAATTATAATTATTAATATTAAAATTATTAATATATTATTATATAATTATATAAATATTATTAAATATAATTTAATGATTTTAATTAAAATATTGAATGCTTACATTTAATCATTATATTTTTGTTATAAAGATAAAGTTTTCAATATTTGTGATATATTTGTAGAAAAAAATTTTATTAAAATATTGAATGCTTACATTTAATCATTATATTTTTGTTATAAAGATAAAGTTTTCAATATTTGTGATATATTTGTAGAAAAAAAATGGAATCCCTGTAACATTGGAATTATTAGAAGATGGAGCATGGTCAAAGGGTAAAACTAATAAATATGCCAGATTAAACTCTAAGAATGATGCTTCTACAAGGTGCAATAATTATATAACTAATCCTATATGAATTATTCCTATATGAATTACTGCAAAACAACAACTAATTGTAATAAAATTATTTATTAGTTCTGGATTGGATACACCATTACAAATTCTTGATGCAAGAACATTAATGAAACAACAAGCATGTGTTTCTTCTACTCCTGGTTCATCATTAGATCTGGAATGGGAACATGAAGGTGGAGAAATTTTTTAATTATGGATAAACAAAATTGCATATAAATTCATGATATATAAAAAAAAATTATTATATATTTAGGAATGCCTCTACCAATTATGGATGATGAAAAAGTTGAAAGTACAGATGGTTCTATGACACAAACATCAATCAATAATAGTCAACCCTCTAGCTTGACAGCATCTCCTTGGTCTAGAGTATCAACACCAAATAGTTTAGAATGGGATCCGGTAGAAGCGGATATGGTATGTGTTGATTTAGAGACTGAACAGCTTTTGACTGAAATAGAAAGATTAACGGATAGAGCGTTAAAGGAAACGGGAGAATGGACTAATGCTAGTTGATAAATAATGCATTTGTAATTAATTGGGATTGTTTGTATTTTTGTATTACAAAAAAGAGTACACAACGGAATTAACATATATAAAATACTTCTAGAAAACAAAAAAAAAAGATTCTACTGTTTCAATATTTGTATTGTTGAAACAATATAAAGATATATTTATATTGTTTCAAGATATATATATATATATAAATACATGTAATATAATATATAATTTAATTAATACAGAATTTTAAAAAAAGGTATATATTGCCCTACTATATTATTTATAGTTTATTATTTAAAAAAAAACGCCAATGATTCAATTGAAAGAAGATTTTCTACATTATGCATATGTATATAAATTTTACACACATAAAAAATATTTTGTTTCTATGGTTTTTTGAATATAATGCGGATATTAATATATTGGATTTTTTTTCTCTGTATTAATTCTATTTTATTCTGATGAATTTGAATTTTTATTTTAACTTTATTCGACTTTCAAGAGACAATAACTTTATTCCTATTAATTTTTATAATTTTTAATCACATTCGGATCCGATGTATTTCGATAAGACTGTCTCTAATAGCTGACCATGTTTTTATAGTTTTAATAAAAAATAATAGAAATTAAGTTATATAAGAATGATATAAATATTTAATATTTTTATTTAAAAAATGACTTATAATCTATTCTCTATATGAAATCATTTTTATATATATCATATAGCCAATCGATTTATTATAGATTCATATAAGTAAAATAATTACATTATATTTATATTTTAAAAACATTAAAAATTATTAAAATTAATAATAAACATAAATATAAATCATTCATATAATGTAATAAAATTATATCTCTTAGTAATAAACATTTTAATATACTTTAATTTACTTGAAATACTTATTTAAATCTAGATTTTTTATTATAGATATTGCAAATATTTTTTACTTTTTTAAAATTTTTAATATAAAATTTACATCTTTGCATAAGTATAATCTATCCTACTCCATTATTATTCATTTTGAGATCGATATTTTAACATTTATTATTTAAACAGAAACTGTTTAATAATAGTGTTATTTTATATTTTAGATAGCTTATTCTACTTATTATTAAAAGAATTTATAATTCGAAAAAAAAAAAAATAACGCGATCAATTTTTATGTTATCAGCTAATAGAGACGAAATTTATGTAATATATTATGTATATATCATCGGACTCAAATGTATTAATATAATTTTATTATTTTTATGTTATTTATTTTTAAACCAAAGATCTTTTATTTTTTTTTAATTTTTTGATATGTAAAATTAATTTACATGTGAGTAATATTGTGTGAATAATATTGATCTCATTTTTTTCATACATATAGTAAGATAATATACTACTTTAACCTTTTGAAGCATATACGAGTAATACGAAAATTACTTCAACTCGTTTTTTTAATTTTTTATAAAAGATTTTCTATTTAAATATAAAAGAAACTTTATATGAATAGCTAATTGTGCTTCAAATGGTTAAACAGTACATATCATTCATGTAACAATATAAATTCTTACATTTGTAAAATTTATTGTTCACCACTTATCTTAGATAGGAAAAAAAATTAAATGCAGAAATTAATATTAAAAATGTATCAGGTGCTATCAATGCAATATTATATTTTTTGCAAATGAAATTATGAAAAGCTTTTTCTGAAAAAAATTTCTTTAAGGCTTAATATATCTTATATTATTCATATTTTATATGAAAAAGACTATTATATAGTCTAAATAAATCTAGTCACGATTGAATTGTAAATTTTTGTAAAATTTAAAATGAAAAAGAAGAAAAACAAGAAAAATCGAAATAATACTGATGTAATATTAATGTTGATGCATATTTAGTGTACAAACATGTTTTTACTGAAGTTATTACCAAATGATTAGGTTATAATTTTAGATAGATTGTCGATTATTGAATATGATGAATAAATTTCAATCGAAGTTGCCTTATAATAGGTACAGAATATCGATATACTTCGATATTAAACGATTTTAAACTTCGATTGTATCGTGTTTGCGGTTTGACTGCGTTACAGTTGTATAATTAAATTTAAGATTAATAATTTGTATTATGAGCGAATCAAAATGTACGCAGCAATAGTAAAGATAGTAATAATGTTAATGATAATAACAATGTTTAATGATAAAAATATGTTAATGATTCAGTGCCATGGCTATTTGTGCATTCTATAAATTTTGTCTCTCGTCATATCTTGAACTCCAAAAATTGAAATTAAATTTTTTGAACATGCATATATAATAAAAGTTTATAAAGATTTATATTAAATTGCATGATAAACGCACACAAAAATATTAGTTGAGCAATGTATGTGGCTTAGTATTAATATCTACATTAATCCTAAGCACAAAATGTATCTAATATATTAATATATAAATTGAACACATTGTTCAATATGAAAAAAAAAAAAAAAAAAAAAATAAGAAGGTGCTTCAAATGATAAAAAAAAAATGTTACAAAACTTTTGCAATCTGCATTTGTATTAATAACAAAAATAAGTCATATGGAAATTAAACAAAGTTGATATTTTGATGATTCTAATGTAAATAGAATTGGCAAAAAATATCAAATTTAAACTCAATTTGACTTATTCAATTGACTATACATATTTTGAAAATTAATATATCCTATATATAAAGTATGTATTGGAACATTTAAATTATTTGTCAAATTTTTTTATATGACAAATATGTATGGCAGAAACTTTTTTTTCAAAAATTTTAAGTATTTCAAATAGGGACCAAAAATATTTTCAGTATTAAATTTTTTCATGAATAATATCTTGTGCTGAAACATTTATTTTATGTAAGTTACAATGTATCGAATTTTTCTTCAATCGACTATTTTATATTTAATTTTAATATTAATTTCTATTTTTCAACTTTAAATATTTAACGAGATAATAAATATTTATTATATTTTACATATAAAAAAATAATTTATAATTATATCAATTTTAAAGTTATAAATAAAATTTATCACTGTTGGCTTTAATTATATATATATTTATCTGTGCCTAGCATTAGATATTGAAAAAAAAATTGTTTCTATTTCATGCACAGATGTTTATCTTGCATTGTGAGTTTGTGATTTATAAAAATCAATACTGCACATTTGCTTATGTATGAAATATAGTTATTAATATTAATATAATATTAATTATATAAAATACATAATAAAATAATTATATAGTATTTTGTATTAACATTTTTGTTTATTTAGATGCAATTTTGGACACAATTATAATATAAAATGCAATAAAATGAAATGAATTTTATTTATTATTAATAATGAATTCAGAAATAGATTTTTATTTTTATTTACAATTCCAAGCATAAAATCAGTTAACAAATTATAAAATTGAATATAAAAATGTATTAAAAAAATTATATATCATGATAGATGTTAAAATGAACATGTTTGTATGCTTTAATAAATAATTACTTTATTATATTTTTATGTACATGTTAGAAGAAATGACAAAAAAAGTATGCCTTGTATTTTTAATTCCTCTTTAATTAGTTAGAATAACACTTAGAATAATGAAACCATGTTTAGTTTCATTATAATGTAATGATTCAATAATTATAATATTTTATTTCAATCTATAATGCAAAAAATTCTAAATCTAAATAAAATTTAAATATAAGTTGAAGCTTGAAATGAATCATAATGTGCAATATTCAAGATACTATTATTTAAATATATGTGTGTATATTATTCATGTATTCGTAATTAATGTTTAATTATACATTAGCTACATGCAAATACTCACTTTAGCATCCAGATTTTTATCTGTTTTAACATGTATTGCTATTATGGATTAAACTTTAAACATATTAAATGATAAATTTCTGAATGAAACTTGACAACAATTTTTTGTTTTTTCACTTTTTTTTTTTTTTTTGCTTCAATTGTAGTTAAAATGTTAAAACGAGCATTACTGAATAATATACATATGTATGATGTTTGTGGAATGGATTATGTTTTTAAATTGTTTTATCTATTATTTAATATTTTAATTACAAATATTGATAGAATTGATTTTATTAAAGTAATTAAATATTTTAAAAATTGATATATTGATATATTTAGTTTTAGTTTTAATTTTTATGCAGTTTCATGAAATACAATACAATATCTCTCTTGTTTAATTTATATTAAATTTATATTAATTATATACAATTCTAACACATAAGATATATCTACATCTATATAACAGTGAAGAAAAAAAATGTTTATAATTAAAAATTATAGTAACATTAAAATTAAAATTTATTATCATGAAAAATGTTAGATTTATTGTGAGATGAATTTGAAGTGAAAACATTTTTTTTTAAACTTTTTAAAATAATTTCAAATAGTATGATTTTGATGAACATTATGTTTGTTTAATACTGTAAAATTGATGTAATTAAAAAATTATAACGTATCAACTACATATACGAATTAAATGCAATTTATAATTTCTTTATTTAGAAATTGAAATTTCTAAATAATTTCTTTAAAATTATGCTTTGGAAATATATATTAAATATCAAAAAGTTAAAAAGAAACATCTAAAAACAACTTATTGAAGAACAAATAACGAAATCAGAGTTTTAATTATTTTTATCTTTATAAAAAACAAGTAGATTTCATGAACAATTATTTTGTAAAAATAATATATATACTAAAATGAATATATCAATGAAATTTCTGTTATATATTATTTTTATGAAATTTTGATTATTTTCAGTATGTATAAATTTGACATTCTTTTTTTAAGTTTAAAAATGTTTCATAAAACATGTATAAAATTTACTTCGTTTTGTTAACATACTTACAATCAATTTTTTGTTACATTTAATATAATTTAAACAAGAAATAGCCGTCGTAAAACAAGTAGAATTATAGCCGATACTAAAGAAGCAATTAGAATGCTCCAAAATAAATCGTTCGATGATGACATTGTTTCTATTTGTTGATTTATTATGATAGTTGATTGCTGTTGGTCTTCAGTCTCATTAATTGATTCAATACCACGTTGTCTCAGTTGATTTTCTGAAATGCCATCTGTATTAAGTAAATAGGATGTATCAGATGTGGGTGAATCATCAGCCTAAAAATGTAATATTTAAAAATATATAAATTGAATTATCAAAGTTGATATAAGCGACATAAAAAAGTACCTTTAATGCTATTGTATTTAACATAGTTTGTTCTTCTTCTGTGATGGGTTTTTTAACAGTATTTTTAGACAACAAATCAACAACTTTGCCACACGTATCACATTGCCAATTTAAAGATCTATGATAAAAATTTTTTTAAATATTTTTTTTCTATTTATAATATTTAGATTTAAGATTTATTTTAATTACTTTTTTGCAAGTTTCTGTCTCTCTTCTTTGCTATAATCTAAAGAACCAATTGTTCCATTTCCTGGTGTTGGCATAAAAGCAATTAAAGCCAATAAAGCTGTTCTAATGCTCCATGAAGGCTGCCATGTCTCTGGATGATGCCCAGAAATGCTGAGGCAAATCTTTTTATTAGTTTCAAAACGTCCATTAGGCTAAAAAAAAAAAAATTCATAGACTTTTAATTATTCAATATATAAATTAAAAATTAAACATACTTCATATTAAAATTACTTACTGTTAAAAGTATAATGTTTGGAGGTTTCATTGGATATTCTGGTGGTAATAAAATTCTACCATGATAAATACCACCTTCAAAGTCTGTGGATGGTGGGCCTTGCACAGTAAAATGCCATTCAAAAAGATTGTCTTCTAAAGGAGATGCACAATATTCTTCTGTAGCTTCATGAAGTTCTTGAGCTTCTCTCATTAATCTTTTCACAGCTGAAATTTTATTTATTAGATGATGTAAAACTTAGTATGACATTACATATGGTATTGCAATAATTAAATGCATTTAGTTGTAAATATCTAAATAATACATAAAACTTATTTTTATATTAGAAATATTCTATATATAATATGTTGGAAAAGAAAATCCAATGACATGTTATTAAATAACGTTAATTTATAAATAAACATTCTACGAAATTGCTATACATATATATATATATATATATATATTGTGAATTCATAAATATAAATTATAATCATAAGGATACAGAAATAAATAATAGAATTTGTACTTTTTTAATAACTTACCCGGGCTTTTCGCGTTGTACTTCCCTTCGAATGACATTTTTGCGAGTATGTCGACCGAGGTTAACAACTGGAATAAAAATAGTATTTGAGCTAAGTGCTATCTGTCTTGTCAGACCTCGATACATCGACGTAGCCAGTTACAATACATTCTTCACATTTTTTGTTACAATGAATTCAATTAATTGAAAAGGATACGTTGACTTAAGTATAATGACAAAAATAATTTTGACGTGGCCTAATAGGAGCGGCGCATACAAAATCCCACAAAAAATAATGTGAAAGTGGCCGCGCTTATCCCGTGCACGCGCACTTACGTCAATTTCACCACTTGAAGTTGTTTGCTTATGAATACATGCAGAAGTTAAGTCTAAAAGTTTTATTTCCAAAAATGTCAGATATGTAGAATTTATTTAATATTATATAATCTTTGAAATTTATATCAATGTATATTCATTAAAATTTTATAAAATTATATTAAATTATATTAAATTACATTAAATTATATTATTGTTTTATTTAATATTCTTCTTATAAATACATTGCTTTTTGAAAAATTGATGTCATAAATTATAATATTATATATTTAAATTTAAAAATATTTTAAATATTAAAGAATTGTTTAATTTTTTCATTTTTAAGATAATTGTATAATTATTGATAATAGCATTAAATATGTTGAAATTATTGTAAATTTTATTTTTTATTTAACCTATAATATTTAATTATAATTTATCGAAAACATATATAATATTAATAATATAAATATATAAACTATCTTGATTGTGTGATCCTGAAATTTATTATTTTTGCAAAATAGAAAAAGAAACAGAACACAGATATTCGTGGAAATTATAGACTTTATTTTTAGAATATTTTGAATATCATAAAACAACGTAAACATTCACAACAAATGGGAATAGGGTGTTATTTATAATAGTAATAATAATAATGTTATTACGTTATCGTAATAATTAATCATTATGAATATGTCATCATGACGTATTTATAATTATATATAAGTAAGATCTTTCATTTAATTTTTAGTAATTATCCGTCATATCTTTATATTTTTCTTTTTTTATTTATTGATAATCATAATAAGAATAGATGATAATCATATTTAATAATAATGATAATCATCGTAATGGTAATAATAATAGTAATAATAATAATAATAATAATAATATTTCTATACGTATGTTTGTCATGTATATGTATATATAAACAAATATAATTATGCTTATCTTGTAAGAAGGGATAGAGTTTATAATAACGCTAAACAATATATGCAATACAGTTCTCTTTTGTTATTTTTGCTGTTGTTTCTGTTGTCAATTCTTTTACCACAATTATTCTCATCACGATAGTCATACAGTCAAAGATGTTAAGAATAAGATTTATCATAATAGTAAATAGATAATAGTAAACATGTGTATGTACAATTTTATCGTTGAATGCCATTCTTCAAATGCTGCAAATATATATAAGTTCGATTACAGTTTATGCAGTGTTTTGTGCAAACTCGACGGATACACTTTTATAAGTTTACATTTTACAATTTTGTCGAATCGACATAGCGCATTTACGTTGATCAATCGATTAAATACAGAAACAATGAATTGATGATTTTCATAATAAATATGATATAACCACAAAATCGTATGCTAATCACACACTTTTTCTTTAGTTTGTTGCGTAATTATTTTTTAATTGCGTTTCTTTTCTTTATTCTATATATATATATATAAGTATATCCGCCGAACAAACATTGCATAAAACCAACAAGAGAAACGAAGTCTAAAGCTACGATTTCCCTAGAAAAATTGATTAAAATCGCGATTTTGGACGTCTCCTCGTTCGTCCAACCTCTTTTTATCACGATACATTTCTTGCGATTACCCCTGTTCCGTTACAATTTATTCTTCTAATATTTCGTCTGACTAACTGTTTCTCATTTTCCAGAAGGCAGTTTTATTTGCACATGTGGGAGAAATGAAAAAAACCACGATACATCGATCAAATAACTGATCAATATCTGCTCTTCTTCGGACATTTCAATTATTAACCTCGAAAATTTCGTTTATTTTTCCATATTTTTTTTATTTTTTTATTTTTTCTTTGTTAACTCGATATGTACATACGATTATCGATATAAGATTATGGATCACAAATTGCGATTAGCAAGCAATCAATGACATTTAACGATAATTACAAAATAATGGTAACCGTATGGTATATAGATATATACACACATGTGCACAAATTTTTATATGTATATATATATATATTTACTGTCGCAGCGATAATACAGAATAATCAGTCGTAACAGGTACATAAAAATAGTGGCGAATTCGATCGATTGTATTATATTTTATGTTAAATTTATATGTTATAATTTTATATGTATAATATTTTATTTTATTTAAAATATATGGAAGTTTTTTCTCATAATTTAATGTATATATTTATACAAGAAATTGTAATAAATTAACTTGAAAATAAAAAATATGATGGTTCCATATGAAATTTTTCGTGTAAATTTATCGATAAATTCGGTAATCGAAAATCGTTGTTCGATATCGAGTGCAACTAATCTCTAGGGAAAAAAGGCGATTTCACTTGCGATCGATCGGATTCGTCATTGCAACGAACGTCATGGCAAAGTAAAGAACGATTCAGTGTTATATAGCAAAATTTTTTCCTTGAACTTTCAAAACAGACATCATGCCAGATACTACGAAGAATGAGGTTAGATTCAAAATTTTCTTGCATTTTTTATTCTGTTTTTTTTTTTTTTACCAAAATTGTATAAATCCGGATTCGTTCAAGAACTTTTTCCTCTTGAGAGAAGATACTAATTTCAAGATTAAAATTTCCTCACATAGGAAAAGTTTCTTTTGATTGAATATCCATTATATATATTATACCATATATTATATATATATATATATATATATATTTAGTTCATGGCTTATGTGTCTCTTATCATGTATTCGTTTTCCTTGCTCTTTTTCATTGTGTACATGTGTATGTATACGCATATGTGTGTGTGCGCGCGCGTGTGTATATATATATATATGTATATAAAAAGATGAGAATCATGTAACTTAACTTCGTATGTATACATATTATGCGTATATACATGTATATAACCATTTATAAGTCATCGCAAAACTCTGTTCCCCGACATGCGCCATTTTATCGAGTTGTACGTGCCAACGAGGCTATTGTATTGCTTGTCGATCATCGAAAAAGGTTCGATAGGTATCTGAACATTGATAGATATTTATCTTGATGATTTCTTTCCTTGGCAGATAGAATTCGAAGAATTAACAAAGGTTTTAAAAAAAATTGATCATATTTTTTGAAACAATATTATTATTATTATTGTTATTATTATTATTATTATTATTATCATTTTGAAGACATTTCATTTTTTGAAGATACATACGTAAAAAAAAAGGAACTCTGTAAAATTTCCGGTGTAGATTGTATTTGGTTTTTTATATTCTTAAAAATTCATGTGTATTTTTTGTTAAAGCGTTTACATGTGGTTCCTTGATAATTAATAATGCAATCGCAGATTCTTTCGATTTTTTTTATCGCTCTGCTTTTCCTTCGACTTCCTTCTTATTGAAAATCTAGATACTAAACATCGACGCATATGATTTCGGGTGACGCTACAAATCGCGGAGTAATATTAGACAGAAATAGAAAGAGATATAAAGAGAGATAGAGAAAAAGAGTGCGTGTCTTTGAAAAATGTAGATAAAATGGTAAAATCCTCGTTTAGCTGTTCTCCTTGTTCATATCACGGAGGGACAAAAAGTATTTCGAACGAGTTCGTAACAATCTAAGAGATCGCTCCACTCTTCACTGCTCGATTTCCCATTCGATCGACTTCTAATTGTAAAGTTATACACGCTATTAAAAAATCGAATACGATTATATTATATGTTAATGTAATGTATATTTTTTTTTTTTTTACTTAATTTTCTTTCTTCTTTATTTTTTTTAATCATTACAAAAGACATAATTATTCATTTTTTCTGAAAACATTTTGTTTCTTTTTTTTTTTTTTTTTAGATTTTAAGAAAATGCAAATGTTTTCAGAATCAATAATATAATAAAAGATACATATTCTGTTATCCATGATTTTCGATTTCTTTTGACTTTTTTTGAATGTGATGTATACAACTCAGCATGTAATATAATCGTAAATATTAAATCGCGTATTAAAGTTATATATTTTATGCATATTACATGCATGTTATGTTATTATACCCGTACTTTCTCGTACAATGATGAAACTTAAAATGTGAGACAAAAAAAAAAGGAAAAAAAAGAATCGATCCGGGAGTCGAGAGGATGTTTTAGTGGATGCGCATATAAGTCTAAGAGAAAGGCTTTGGGTTCAATCCCAATCGTAAGCTTAACGATATACACGCTTCTACATTATGATACAGTTCTCGTTTTTCTTTTTTTTTTCTATTGATCTTTGCTACGCCAATGCATGCACTTCTTCCATTTTTTAGATTTTGTTTAACGATTCTTTTTTTTTTTTAATTATCTTAGAAAAACACGCGAAAGTGTAAATCGATAAGTTCGTTGGATTAGCGTTATTTACTTTATCGATAGAATTTAAGGATCAATTAGAAGGAAATGCATTGATCGCGACAAAGAACACATAGATTTGTCATTATGAAAACGAGGACGGTTCGGATGCAACATAAATGATGATCATATCCTTTTCTAAAGGACCCGATTGATATTCGGTATTTTCCGTGCAATGATAAAAGGATACGACCGTCAAGGATGATCCTGTATTCTTATTCTTAACGATACATTTCTCTTTTCATCAAATAATGCAAAAATGATCGGCGTATGATTGTACGCGTTTCTTCGATAAATTGTACAATTATAATCGTTATTATAATTGTATTTGTCTGATATCATAAACAGAGTTATAAATTGCACTTTGATCCATGCAAAAAGATTGAAGCAAACAATTCTGATATTTTATCACAGGATCAATCCTTTCTTCGGATCGATAACGAATCACGCACGTATGGAATATCGTTATCGATCCACGGTGATCCGAGCCGAGTCGATAAGGTTTTCAACGATTTATCGACGATCGATCATAACGATTTTTTTATTTTTCCTTCTTTCTTTTCTTTTCTTTTTCTTTAACCTATCTAAAAAGATTTCTACGACACGATATATATTAGGATTAAGACGCCCGTAGAAATATGTACAATATGTTTTAAGAGGCGACTGCATAAAAACGTACGTTGGGACACGGTTCGCGTTCAGGAATCATATCATCAACTCTGTCCACCTGTTTTCTAATCGTTTTGCATTGCTTTTTGATTACCTCCTTACTACCACTCGATATAAAAAAATCGCTTCGTTAAACAAGGGCCCCGATAATAACTTCATCGTTCTAGCATATTTTGTGTTCTTTTTCTTCATCTTTGTTTTTTTTTTATCTTTTTCTTTTGAGCGCAATTAGGTAACGCTAACAATTAAGTACTACACTGTATGTGAAATAACGATAATTAATGGTAAAAGTTGAATAGTGCTGGACACTATATATGTCTTAATTAAAGGATATTGCCATAAATGTCTTATTTAACTGTACATTTTCATCCTTATTCTGTGATTTTACACATTCAAAAGATATTTATATTCTTTCTGTATTCTCTATTTTACTTTTGTATCTTATTATTGTTTTGCGAAATTACTAGAACAATATTTCTTATGCATAATACAACATAATATAATACAAATTAAATCAATAGAAATCGAATTTATCAATAGAATAAAAGTTTTCCATTGATGTGTACAGAAATATTTAACATTATAGTTTATACTTGAAAAATGATTGAACACTAAAAATCCCGCGAGCAGACGGAATTAAAATTTACGATACGATAAACACACTGAACGAATTAATATTTTTTATTATTATAGACAAATATAAGAATTTCTTTATTTGCAGAATAGAAAAAAACTAGAATGGAAAAGAAATGGATAACCAAGGAAAACGTGATTATCGTGCAAGCAAAAAATGGATAAGTCGAGTTTTAGTTTAAAAGAGGACAAGCGGATTTTTGGTTACATAATCCTGAATCACCATTATCGTGTCACCCTCGTCGTAACGCAGCTGAAATGACCATCACAATATCGAACAGCAGTAACAGATAATATACATTATGTATATTAACTTTACCAATAGATCTCCGATTTTTATTTTATTTTCATCTTCACTTGGTAAACACTCACTCACACTTTTTATGTACTTTGAAATATTTTTTTTTGTTTCGATAATGACAATATGAGAATATTAAATATATAGCATCGGTAACATCGGTGTTAACGATAACGATAATAATTAATAGAAGTAATGATATAATTATGATAATAATAATAAGAATAATCATATAATGACAATAATCAAATAAGTAAGAATAATCGTATCTCACGATGACCGCGATAATAATCATAATAATAATTAATTAACATTATATCATATGTATAATATTTATATATATTTATATGTATTTTTTATTTATAGCTGTATATTTTATATATATATATATAATTGTATTTTATTATTATTTAACACATTTCTTTTGTACAAGTAAATCAATTAAGAATAAGTACAACTTCGTAGCAAAGAGAGATAGAATTATATTATTCACTGTATATTTTTATCCATAGTGAGAAGATATATATATATATGTATATATATATGTATATATATATATGTATATATATGTATATACATATACATATATTGCACAATATTTATTTGTGTGTATATATATATATATATATACATATATATCTTATTTAATTCATTTCATTATAATAATATTCTTTCATTATCTTTATTATGTTTCAGATCGTAATTCTTGCACGCCGCTATCTATGTTTGGCTGCCGGAAGTGGCCTTACTCTATCGTACTTTCCGTTCTTCTAATATCTACGGATCTTTATAAATCCAACGTGACTTTCCATTGCGTGACAATGGGAGCTTTTCGTCGCGGTATCCGCCCATCTTCTCTTTCACTTTTCATCGATCCCTAAAGAGAGGAGGTAGAAAAAACAGCGAAAACGACGAGAAAGATCCGCGACTCGATCGCGAAACCGCTTTATTACTAGAAACATTATATGATAAGGAGCGTGGCACAGTTTTGACGCTACAATCGTTCACGGGGCTGGCCACGATCGAAGAAAATGGGGACACGACGAAAAGCGCGGGAACGCTTTAACGAATGAAGAAGGAGTTCGGGGAGGCATTCAGAACTAAATACATAACAACTAGCACAGGAAGCAATTAATTTAAAAAGCAATGAGAAAACATTGATAAAATTATCGCTTTTGCATCAAGAGATGGCTGAGATTCTTAAAAAACAGTGAATCTTAAAAAGAAAAGTCGATATACTATAAAACGAAAGTTACATTGCAAGAAACCGACTGATTAAAATTAATTAAATATCTACACTTTGATCAGAGCTATAATTATGTAATGAGGGATAAGTGGTCTTCGTGCGAAGAGGCCGCAAGAATCATAAAGGAATTATAGTTTGGCACTGATACCCGTCAGCTTGAACTTAATACGTTCGCGGAGCTGGAGAGAACCAGCATTGGGAAGTCACGTATTCCTATTCGATCCTATTGCTGATGGACTTTATGGCACATCGAATATCTTTCTTAAAACGCTTTGATTCCGTTTCGAAACTATGGCGTCTCTTGCCTTATGCATCTAGCATACCTTCAATGAAAAGAAAAGAAAAAAAAACAAAAACTACAACATAACTACGAAACAACACTAACAATTGTCCATCATTCGACTGATTCGAAATATATCTTTTCAGAGACTACAAAAACTCCACTTCCGGCACCAGGTACAAGCAGCGTGTGGCTGTGGCCCAGACTTACGTCGGATAGTAGCAAGAACACACATTAAAATCATAGAAGATCAACGCTATTAGACGTGTTATGCAAGTAGCTATCCGCTTTATTTTCCCTTTAATTTTCTACAAACCATTTCACTTGGTTCAAAGAATAAATCAGATCTGCGGATGCTCTAATTGGCATTTCCATTCTTTTTCTAGTTTATCATTTCTCGTCTCGTTTCTTTTGTCTGGTTCACCGAATAACCAATACACAATATGAATACATATACACGCGGATTGGTCGAGCGTTTTCCTTTTCTTGGTCTCTCCTCGAGGTATCCTTATTTTGTGTTATTTTAAAATGCCTTCCTCTCTTATCGAGATTTACGCATCACACGTCCAAAAGGAGCACACATGTCATGGTTTATCAATGTAATATATATAGTATGCGTTATAGATTCTTCATGCGCGAACGAGGCCCACGAAGCCTCCGCGAGATTCCTCTCTGTCTCGTCGAGCGTGCCATTTTGCCATCGATCCCTCTCATCATTCTCATCTCTCTGAATAAATACTGGAAAGATGTAGAACTGTCCAATGGATATCGTACGAGCGAAACGATCGTCGTCCATAACGATAGTTGACGATCGATTATGTATTATAGAATCGGCGAACGAGATTTTAAAATACCACCCGGGTAGATTGGTCGGGATGTGAAGTTAAAACTCTTGGAAGATGTTCAGTAAGTAATTATAGATCGAGGTTAAAATTCTTAGATTCGAATATAATATATATATGCGAATTCTTTTAGGATGAAATTGAACGACTTGTTAGTTTAAAGAGAATTCTCGAATGTTTAGAACATTGATAGAGATTCTCTCGGGAAAGGTAAGTTCATTACGAATTGATGGGAGGTAAGAGGGAAGATTGTTAGGCTGTATTCCTTGGAAACCTTGGTCCATGATCGGCACCAGCTAATTCTTAGTTGGAATGATGATATTTCATTACATCTTATTTCTTACTCATGACTATAATACAGGATCATCTGATCCTGATCTAAAATAATTCAATTATCTAAACTTAATTATTCTTCTTGACTAGGATTATTCTATGATGGCATATTCCCTCGAAAATCATTTGAAATTTCACCAATGGAATCAGCTGGTCCAGGATCAAAAGCTATCGACAATTTTTGCTGGAATACAGGGACGAATATAGAACTATTCGCATCATAAAAAAACGATTTGGATACGATGGATCTCCGATAAACTCGTTAAATTCATTCCAAAACAACGTGCTGCTACCGCGGAGGACGCAGTTCCGTTTCCGGTGGGCGGAAAACGACGCGCTCGACGTGCGATGTTTCCTTTATCGTGCCGCGAGAACCATCATCATCAACGTGTATCGATATCGATATAGTAATGATGATCATCGTAATAATTAGTAATAATAACCACAGTAATAATAATCATAATAATAATCATAGTAATAATCATAATATTAATTAATTAATTAATAATATATTTATAATATATATGCGTATATTAAATAAATTCTCCGATATAACTTACGACTTAATCCTAAAGCTTAGCTCGACTTAAGATTTAAGTAATCCCGCCACCATTTTTTTTTGCGCGCGGGGGGATGCCCGTGCACCCTCCAGGGCGAACTCCTTAAGAACCTAGTGAATCCTAAAACCGGAAGCTCCGCCATATCGACAGGCCAGCTGCCTTTAAATTTTTCTTTTTTTATTTTACTTCCCCTTTATTCTTCTTCTTTTTCCCTTACTTCTTCTTCTTTTTTATTTTTCTTTTTCGTCGCCTCTCTTTTTCTCCCCCTACAATTTCGTTTTTTTTTTTTTTATTATTTTTCATCGCTTATACTTCATTTCTGTTTTATTTTATATATATATATATATATATATTTTCTTTGGCGGAGACCGCTCGTCCGTGATTTTTCTTTGTCTCTTGCCTCGATCGTTATTCGCCTCGCGTACAGAAAGTCGAACAACAACGTCCCCTATCCGTTCCCGCCTTAGCTCGATCCGAGAAGAACAATTTTCCATCGAATTACCTTACATATTTATTTATAGTATAATACGCTTTCCTACCACAACAACAGGATCCCTGATAAAAAAATCGGCGAATCTAAAGCGCGAATCTACGCTTGCTCCTATTTGACTCGGCTCCGTGTCTATGCGCGTTCAAGCATCATCACGAAAGAACACTTGAAACGAAACTCGGCTCCTAATCTCCGTTTCTTCATCGCCAACTTCTCGCATACTTCAACGGAACATCTTTAAATATACTTCCGATATACCATACGATATAAACGACATATATTCGATCGCATACACACGCATACACACGGAGATCTCGCTTTTCTCCTCCCGTACAAACAAGCTCGCTCGCTCCAGCGCGGTTAAACGGCTCCTAAGTCGTGATCCAACGCGACCACGGATCGTAGAGCGGTGATAGAAGATCGTACGAGTCGTCGTCCGCAGGGAGGAAGAGGACAAAAGAGACGAGGGCACGCCGGGCGTGCAGCTCCTCCCGGCAGGTGAACGAGGCTTCGCCTCGTTTTGGACGCGAGTTGAACGAAGCTAGGCGACCGATTGTCGAGCATCTCCATCGTCGTCCTGGGCACCTGTCGCAGCAGCGGCTGCCGAGACGCGTGCAGCACACGCGACGACGACGACGCTCGTTGTTCCCATGACGCGTTCCTCCGCATCTTCCATCTCGTGATCGATTCCCTCGTGGTGAACGCTCCTCCTCGGGATGGCACTTCCTTCTCGACTCGACGAACGGCACGCTGGCGACAATAACCGGGGGTGAGAGACGAGCGATGGTTTGGATCTTTCGGCGGTGGCGGCGACAGCACTGGGACCTTAACACCCATCCTTGCCACCTGAAAAACGTGCAACGCTGCTGGCTTCGTCTTCGTTCCACCGCGCTTTGTCGACCGATATGTGAACATCGATATGTCGCATCGTGAACATTGAGAGTAATTTCTAAGAGTGGATTCAGTGTTCCCTAGGAATGGAACGAAACGTGAAAAAATTCATTGTTGTCGTGATAATCTTTGTGATAGTATTCAAGCTGTGAGATAAAGAAATTTGGATATCATATTTCTTTTGCAGATAAAATTTGGAGGATCGAAGATAGGTTTTTCCATTGTTAGAAAGTGATTATACAATTTTTTTCGTTCCATCCTAATGTTCAATGTTCATCGTTGATGGCGTCAAAAGGAAAGTCAAAGATTTTGATTGAATTGAGATTGGACATTAATTGAAATAATACTTGAATTTTCTCTGTAATTCTTAACGATCAAAATCTTTGATCCTGAAACAGTGATGAATGATGAATGGTGAATTCCACTTGATACGAGACATAGTTTATGAAGTTGCAGAGGTCAGAGGAGTTATTTGATTCCCGAAAATATCCTAATTTCTAGAAACAAATGTTTCAAAGCGTGTCACTGCAAAGGATTTATGGACGATTACCCGATGGAAAAGCGTAGTCACCCTTGGGGAACATGAAGAAATAACTGTGCTTGAAATTGTGCGAGTCTATCGATCTTCTTATACGGCTTTGCAACCTTGACGTTTAGCATGCAGTGAATTTCATATAGGAATAGGAATCATTTATCTTTCAACCAAATCTTTGAATGAATTGTCCTTTTAACCCTTTCTTCAACAGTGTTTTAATTAATAATAATTAATCAAGTTTTTGAATAAAAGTTGAGAAAAATAAATGCTAGATATTTTCTTTCTTTTTTGATGAGAAAAGATATTTGATTAAAATAATGTGTCTTTTTTTTTATTCTTAATTTTTAATCCTTTCGTTGCAACGATTATATACCTTTCATTATCAATCTTGGCTGTTAATGGCCATCAATGGCCTGTTCCAGCCTGTTCTCAGTGCTCGAAGGTCTGACAATAACGGCCACAACTACTTTGTTTCTAATTCTGTTGAGCAACGGACAGTTACCGTGAAGACAATATCGCTCAAACTTTGATGAATGTTAGTAAGTTTGCCAAAGTTTTGTAGTTCGAGGAGTGAGAGCTACTGCCTTGTCTCGTTTTGATACACTAATTTGTATTTCTAACGACGAACAAGACGCTCTTACGCGTATCTTCCATTAATTACAATCTCCATTAATATAATTTTTATTCTCGATTATTAATTGAGATTCACTGAAATTAGATATTATTGGAATTAATAATTCGAATAATTTTATCATTAGAAAAGATACGATATATTCATCGATATTCGACAGGAAAGGATTAAAAATTTTGTTCAGGAATGTATTATGGAATACCTGTACGCCATCAACGATGATATTCAACAAGAAGAATGATGCGGCTAGCAAAGTGTTCCCCATGGGTCGACACTCGTGCAACAGGAAGCTGTGAATCCACGCGCCGATTGTTATACTACCTCTCCAAATTAGTCCCATAACCCAAGTTGCAAGTTAATCGCGACACAATAAGATGAACGGACAATTCGTAATTATTATTATTTTTTTTTTTTTTTGGTGCGTATCGTGCATGAGAGTTAATCAGTGTACAATAATATCGAGCTGTTTTATTATAGTTTTCGATACACGATCACTCGTGGAACTTATTTCGTTCATTCTTCAATATATCTACTATTCTTTATCCAAACGAAACAAAAACGCCTCGTCGTTTATATTATTTCTTTCACCGTTAATACGTTTTTAATCAGCTGCTCCTCACTATTTCTCTCACGAATACTCGGCCCATTCGATCGATCGACGAATTCTCGTTCTCGATCTCAATTTCTCGAACGACAATCGTTCATCGATCGTTCATGGATCGATCATGCGAATCGTGTCATCACATCGGCAGAGGGACCATGCAGGGACCGAGAATTCTGATCTAATAGGAGCAAAATATAGAAATCGAGAAAGAGAGAAAGTCTGCAAGTCTTTCTCCCTTGTTCAGAATCATCCACGTGGGTGTGATGTGTACCTTGATTGGACGAGTGTGAGGCTCACGATTGCGGTTGCGGTGTGCATGGCTCTCGCTTCTCTGGCATAGCCGGCGGCTTTATCACAGGCTTCTCTTCGGTTACGGGCGTGGGTGGAGCGTCCTTTCTTGGCGGCATCCTTTCGTTTATAGCGTCCAGACCCTTCGCCTCGGCGAACGAAGTGATTTTGTGGTTCGGTGAGAAACCTTGGAGAGCTGTGAACAATAATTCAATCGTCGAAACAGTGCAATTTTTGGGAAAATGGGGATAACATTTGTTTCTATTTCGTAATCAAATATCCAGAAAATTATTCGTTCTATGCTATTGCATCATTTAATCCATTTATTATTTTATTTATTGTATCCGTTTGATCGATTGCTTACCGTTTTTTAGCGACGTTTTGCCACCCGATAACGCACCGAGAGGCAAAGCTCCAGTGGGCGTGAGCCCCTTCAATTGTAACACACTCTCGCTTTCCTCTCTGGAAGATCAAGACAAATTACAACGATAAGCAAATCGTATTGAGAGAAAAAAAAAAAGAAAAAGAAAAAGAAGAAAAAACCAGAGCAGAGAAAAATGTTTCTCTTCGATTCTGCATTAATTAACCCGAACGATTATTCCAATTCAATGCAAACCATTTATCCACGAAACGTTCGATATTTTTTCGGCGCGGAAGTTCGATCCCAATGAAGAACGAAACAGACGATTTTTCACCGCGAGTTATTTTCCATTTTCGATTTTCTCCCGAGTTCCTGAGGCAAAAGTGATTAACAACGGTAAAACGGACGTGGGATTAATCCTTTGAAAAGCATTCCGTTTTTCTCTGATTACCGATCGACTGTGAAAATTCGATCGATTTTCGTGGCAATATTTCACCGACGTTAATGAATTCTATCAACGTAATTGGAATATATTCGTTTCACGGGGCCGAAGAATTAATTACTTAATCGTCGGTGTAGGATTTCGCGCTGATGAAATATTGTATTCTTCTTATTCTCTCATATTATTGTCTCTTATATTGTTATTTATATTTCTGTTGCGAAGATTCGATAAAGAATTTTGATACTTTAAGAAAAACGGAAAAATTAATCGTATTAGATTTCGATCTATTTCTAATTTTTAATTATATTAAATTACTGACCTCAGGACGGAGAAGACGCGCGCCATTTTGCCAATGGCTCTGATCTTGTTTCTGATAACCTCCTTGCGTAGATTGGCTGCTGCACCTAGAAAAGTGAGAATAATCAGTTTGAAAAATCTGTTCTTGAAACAAACTTTTCTTCGTTTTGTGATCCACGAAGTCGCGAAGGCATAATGCAAACAAATAGGATTTAGCACTAAAGATTACTAGAGCCTAGTGAATTTCTAGCATGATGTCACTAGCGAACAATTCGTGTAAATTACTCATAAAGAGCGTTATCTTCGAAGATGATATTATGTATAAGTAGCTACGAGAAACAAAGAAACGAAAAAAGAAAAAAAAAGAAAAAAAAAAAGAATAGACATTGATGATTTTATGTAAAGCTGAAACTAGATGAAAATTCGTGAGTTTTAATTTGCCTTCGCGAGATCTTGATCACGAATTCACCTCGCGACTCTTATCGCGAAGTAAATTGAAATTTGGCTTCACTACATTATTCATACCACAGCTTATTCGAAGATGTTATTTAAAAAAAAGAAAAAAAAAAAAAAAAAAAGAAAAATATATATGAAAAAAAATTTTACTCGTTATTCTCGGGTTTTACGGCAAACAACAACGGCAAACTACAGCCAAAAAAACTCGGTGCACGCGACGAGCGAGTGCATATTAGTCTCGATGTACCAACTTTTGATCTTTCATTTTATTTATCTGTCTCTTTAGCATAAAATCTACTTTAAAGATACGTATTTTTATATATTTTTTCTTTTCACTCGACGGATTCGCGTAATCCAATTTAAAACCGTCGTTATTTTTTAAATCGTCACAATTATCTTTCGTGGATATCTCCTATTCGTCTCTTATCAGCGAACTGAACGAACAATGTAACGAATAAAATTACTTAAGAGACTCATTGAACGTAAAACAATGTGAAGCAAAAGAAAAAAAAAATAATACGTCAAGAAAAAAGAGATATATCAAATAATCAATTCTAAACCGATTCAAATTTTGCGCGCATTGCGGCCAATCGTTTTGACGCACGCGCATAAATGATTCGCTGCAATCGGCGCGCTATTTAAATTATGCGCTCGTTTGTGTACGTTCTCGATCAAAGTACACGCGAATTTTTTGCAATCTCTGTTAAATTTTATCGAATTTTTAAGTTGAATAGATAAAAAAAAAGGAAAACTTCGATTGGTAATCATATATTGAAATATAATATAAATATGTATGTATATATGTAAAAAAATAGAGAGAGAGTGCACGAGGGTAATAGCACAAGCTCATTGCATATAATAAATGCGCGCAACTATATACACACGCGCGCGTGCACGTGTTACAAAACGGAAGCCGGTGTGCGATACGTGCGTACATCGTAATAATGACGTCTATAACAGGCTAATGGTTGCATAAACCACAGATTTCCTAAATTATGCAAAAAGATATAATGCAAGAAAAAGAGGTCAACACATGCACATGCAGGCTTTGAGCGCGAGTAAACGTACGCACCATCGGTCAACTAAGGGTGCTTTTATCAGTCGCTGTTTTTTTTTTTTTGTATATTCGTCGCTACTTGCCTACTTTCTCGTTCGTATTTTCTCTTTCTTTCTTTCTTTTTTTTTAATGCAATTTTTTATAAAATTGTGTTTATACATATGCATACGCGTATTCATTTGCATTTTTATGTTCGCTTATTTCCAAGTCTTTAACCCGTATCCGTGTGTTAGAATTTTAAGCATAAATATTAAGAATTTTTTTAAAAGGGTTTTTTAAAATTTTATTCTGGTTTTGTGCTTGGGATAAAACGACAATATTCAGTGGTTCTCATTTTCCATTCGTTATATTTAATCGTAAACAAATAAGTTCTAATTAAGTTCTAATTATTAATTTTAATTTTAATCATTATGATGCAACAGTTAAAGACGAATATTTTTCTGCAAATGAATTATATACTGTAATTAAAGATAAAATATAAATAAATAAAAAATAAATTAGAAATTTAGATCTATGAATATATACAAATTAAGTTTTGTTAATTAATGCATAGTTTATATACATACAATTTATTTCAGTTGAGAATCACTGATTAATTACAAAGGATTAAATATTAAAAAAGTCAACTATTAAGTTTAAAATTGAAAAATTGTTGGTAAAATTCTAGGCGCACAATTACGGGTTAAGAAGCAGACAAAAGATAATCGACTAAATAAAATATAGAATAATCTAAGAATCGGCCATTTTGAGTTTGCGTTAAACTACAAAATGGAAATTTCTTTTTGATATCTATATTTATCAAAGAATTCCTTTTATATATACATCGAATATCGAGTATCAAAAGTTAATTAATTTTCTTTTTTTTTCTATTTTTTTGCAATCTTATCATTTTATTACCATAGCGAACAAATTAAAATTTATATATATCGTGTTCAACTTTTAAAATATTTTTTTTTGATAAAAAAAAAAGAAAAAAAAGAAAAAGAAATATAACTTTCCTGTTTTTTTTTTTTTTTGCTGTTTAAAGAAGATCGAAAGGAACGAGTAAGTGATATTAGTCATTACTTCTTTAGAATTTTCTAAGATTTAGCTTGTTCGTTCTATAAAAAAAAAAAAAAAAAAAAAAAAGAAAGATAATTTCACATGGATCGACATACGTGAAAATATCGTTCCGGTGTCGTTGTGTTTCCGCTTCTCTAAGCTTTCGCGAGTTAAATTTGCGGATGTCAGGTCTTGTGACACTATAGCAAATCGGGTAATTTTGTCACTTACATAGAAAAAACAAATTCATTCTTGCTGATGAGAAATTTAGCGAATTAGGAGATTCTACTGGCTCTATCTTTTTTTTTTCTTTTTTTTTACTTCGAATACTTTGAAACGGCAAACGATTAATTTTTAAATTCTTTTCTTTCTTTCAGCATTACTTCAACTTAACTTTTCCAGTTAGCAAATATTTTCCTACTTTTAATGGCATCGTTCAACGATATTTAAATTTCGTCGCGTTGAACAGTGAACAAGGTTCAATTTCGCGAGGCCAACCACGTTTTAATTTCTCGTAATCCGCAATCGCGCGGCTGCGCTGCATGGAAAAGCTTTTTGCGAACGTTTTGCTGAGATGGCAGGAAGAAAACATTTCTGGAATATCCTTCGACGGTCCATTTCCCGTGTAAAAAGCGTTGCACGAAACGTCAGCGTGAATCGAGAATTTTTCGTCGTTTATTTCGTGGAAAATTTGTACGAATGCGTCTATTTATTAAAGGGGAATGAGGGAAAAAAAAAGAAAAAAAAAAGAGGGGGAAAAAAATCATCGAATTTTGTTTTACTTCAATTATTTAGTCTAGTGAGTTAGGTTTGTTAACGTTCGAACTCGAGAAGTTATAGAGTAACGAATCGATATTCTGGACTGTATACGGAGTGTATATTTTTTCTCTTCTGTTGGTTTCAATGTGCAAATTGAACATTGATGTTTAACTTGTGGATTGAAACAAGCTTCGTTAAAAACGATCTCGTTTAAATAATTTCTTGCCTACTGTCATCTTATTTTATATCATAAAAATTCGTTTCTTTCGTAAAGTGTAGTAAAACGAAAATTCAAAATTCCATTATTCCACTGGCTGGCTTAATCGAAAATAAAGCTTTGCACATATCCACGAATACATCCAGAGAGGAGATGGCGTTTCTCGATTCTCAATTCAACTTGCCTCATCAATACCAACGAGTAGAAGCGACCCTCAACAACGTTCTCTTATGTATGCATCTTCGTCGTATAAGGGGATAAGAAAATATCGAAAGCAAGGGATGGAGTTCAAGAAATTAGAAAAAAAAATGAGGAGAGACTTGAGACAATGGCACAGCCTGGAAAGAACGATCTTTCTACTCTAAGGAGACATCGTAACCATGGTAGTTTTTTTTTTTCCTCTCCTTTTTTTCTTTCTTTCTTTTTTTTTTTTTTTCTTTCTTTTTTTCTTTCTTTGCGACCTCTTTGACGCATTCTTCCGGAGGAGAAGAGCGCACGACGAAGAGATTTCAGGAGGAGGACTCTCTGACTGAAGGAGCGGAACATTTATCGATCATCCTTTGCATCCTGCGGCTTTTCACTGAGAAGGACGATGCGGCACATACAACGACGTACGTCACTACTAATTTATACAACAGATCAAGCCTTTGCTCTCTAGACATTTACGTGTCAGCGCATGATTATGCACTCGTGGCCTGTCGCAATGGGATTGCTACCTCGAATCGTTTTCAAATTCATTTTCCTCTCATGTCTTATTCGGAACAATCTCGTTTTCTTTTTTTTTTTTTTTTTTTTTTGTTCTTAATCCTGATAAATTCCATTTATCATACAACTTTAACTCAACCTCAGCTACGTTCTTTGAATTTTTACGAATCCCCAATTTCGTTCCAAAAGTTTCGTCGAATAAAATAATATAATTGTATAAACCTTTTACAAATTGAAATTGAATTATATTTCCTCGTATGTCTCTCAAACGAGCGAGGGAGAAAATTTTCAACTCGATGGAGAGAAGTGGACGAGGCTGAGGATGAATCGAAAAAACGCAGCAGCGGGTTGGAAAAAAAAAAAAAAAGAAAAAAAAAGAAAAAAATAAATCCAAATGAAATTACAAAAGACAACCGTGACGATTATTAACGTCTCACGATCAATCTTGATGTCTAAGGGATAAATTTACTTTTTCTTTCTTTTCTTTTGAAAACGATACAGAGCTTCGTTCCTTCCCGTTCGTCTCTCTTTTTTCTTTCTTTCTTTTTTTTTTTTTTTTTTTTTTTTTTTTTTTTTCTTCCGACGCTCTTTCTATCGCGACGACGACGCCATTGCGACAGTGTACTACGACGACGAGCTAACATTTATCACAGGGTGTTCGAGTTTGGCACCGAGTCCCAGAGACGGAGATCCATCGTCCATCGGGGATATATCTGAGGCGTTCTCAAAAGGATGACGCATGATCCGGTCAATCGGGCAGAAATTTCGAGGGGGCGAAATCCGCGGATGGAATCGTTCGATCTCAAGCGGATCTGTGCTCAATACATATTGCACGGGGCAACTAGTGCTCTATATCGACTGTTTTAGAAGCGTTTCTAAGAGGCGTAACTTCGCTCTTCGAGCCGATTAAACACACTCTGATGAATTCTTGCGCGCTCTTACGAGTCTTATCGAATCGAAATTATCATACATAGAAGGAAGGGAGAAATTCTGAAATCGAGGGATCGAGACAGAGAGAAATAAAAAACCGAAAATTTAATCTAATTTATCTTTTTAAGGGTAAGCTCAGCTCGAAGAATCGGTGAGAGAGATCGGTTTGAACGCAAGGTCGAACGTCCATAAACGTGTCGTATTCCAGATGGATCTCCGTGTCTTTCGATGCATAGGCGCGAACTCGAGCGTGTAATAATATATTCTCGAACATTGCGACGCCTATGGAACTCGATTTCGTCGATGCCTTCTCACGCGGATTCGCTTATCAACATTAGGAAAGCTTCACGAACCCAAATCTCGTCGAGGGACTCGTGATTCGATTTTTCACTTCAACCACGGAAAACAGTCGAGCTTCTCGAGTCACTCGACCATTGGGCGTTGTTCCTATGTCATTGCTTGGTCGATTCGCGGAGGATCGAGGCTGAATAAGACTTATCTCGTGGCCGTTCCGTTCGTTAAATGTAAAAATGATTTTACCTTTCGTCAAATCGATCGAAGCCCATGATCTATCTTTGCTTCAAGATTTTCAGATCGATTTAAACCTTCGTAAAATTTCAAATATATTGAAAATAAAATTGAACGGATTGAGGTTTGTAAATAATAATAATAATAATAATACGAGGTAAGAAATAAAATATATAATGGCGGAAGAAAAAGAGATATTTCCAGGATCTAATCACGAGATCTTGTCCCCAGGAGCATGTGGATCCTCCACGATCGAGATCTATGCGCACTTTCAACAGAAAAGAACTCACCGTACGCGATTGTAGGTGGGGTCGTATTTGGACCAGACCAGTCGGGTTACCATGGCGGCCATGGTGACCATGGTCGTTTTACCGATGGTGAGCGTGGACGTGAGTAAAAGGACAGAAGTAACCAACAATGTGAGAGCAGCGTCAATGCGGCCGAAGAGAAGAGATAGAGAGAGGCGGAGATGTATAATAATTTTTCCCCAATCATTTTTGTCGATTTTGTTTTGTTTTTTTTTTTTTTTTTTTT